TGTGTGTGTGTGTGTGGACTCCATAAACCATCTCATTCAAAAAGAAATCCTGGTAAAGCAGCAGCCAGACTCCCTCCTGGAGGATTTTCCAGCCTGATCCTGCAGAGCCTTCATGTGATCGTGTGTCGGGCTCAGACAGAAATCAGGTCTCTGTGTCAGCTGAATGTAAACTCACCATTTGTGAAATTCAGCAGGATCATCATCAGCAGCAGGAGACCGACAGTCATGACTGCAGCACTTATCTCCAGACCAGAAGGAGAAACGAGCCCGTCGGTTCCTTCATAGCCGAATCTGAGCAGGTACCTGCACACAGGCGGATCGTTACTATGAGATTAAAAATCCAGATCTCTGTCAAAATAACCCGGATCCTTCTGTGGTCACTCAGGTCTCGAAGACAATTGGAAGATCACAGTGAAATCGCAGGTTTCAGGTCGTCTATCGTCTTTCTGCCAAACTCTTGTTTCAAACTCGTCTCTCTGTAACTCGGCTCTTCTCTGACCTGCAGAGAGGAGCTGGTGTGTTCGGATGCTGAGGGTTATTTGGGGCGGCAGATCCGGTCTGACCTGTTATGATTTCCCTCAAGGCGCACAGCTGTCAACAGTAAATCACTGGCTTAACTCATAACGCTTCTGTAACACAAACAAAGATCATCAACGCTGATTGTTATCAGCATTAACGCGGTCGGTACATAGTGCTGCTGTTCCAGTGCAAACAAGAGTCTGAGTGACACACCAGCCGGTTTCTGAGGTCAGATTTTAAATGTACATCATGATCTTATTTTCTGTTCAGTCCACATAGTGAGTAAGCAGATGAGCGACACCAGCCTTTTAGAAATGAATGCTTCCTTTAACTAACATCCTCAGATAGAATCTGGGCTAAAGCGCCAAAGATAACAAGCACTCATTTTCAGCTTCAGCAGAGGGAATCCTAATCTCTCTTGGAATACATTTTATCCACTCGTTCACTTCATCCAGATGCTGTGTCACCTCAGCGTCTGGTGCTGTGCAGAGGGACACACACTAAAAAAATGTGAGTTAATTTCTGTCATAAAGTTTCAGGAGTTATGGCCAAAATGCAAGATGACAAGGCTGAAGTCCAGCCAATAAAAAGCAAGCCTGAGCATGAAGCCAAAGCAGAGACCAAAAATACAAAGAGACGCATGCAGGGAGTCAAACAAGCAGAAGACAACACAACACAATTCAAGAACACAGCCGAACTGAAGCATTTAAATACACAGAGGAGCTAATGAGGGATAGTGGCAACTAGGGCTGCCACAAACGATTATTTTGATAGTCGACTA